CCCTAAGGAAATCACCTGTTTCGGTCTGAGCACTGAGGCAGTATCATAGCCCACACAAAAATCAAGTGAATTATGTGGTGTATATGTATTCGGTGCCCCTTTGTAACAATATTTATGTGTTCAAATAAATAAATGCCAACAGTTCATGTACATTAAAACCTTTTTCTACCTAAATGTTGTTTTTCACTTGTGAATATGATCTGATAGTGGTTATTAAAACAAAGTTGGTTTTTAAATGAATTAATTGAGTTATTATTTTATGATACTTTAGAAAAATGACTACTTGGTCTACATGGAGTTAATAAGCCATATTATTGAAGATTTTGGAAGAGGATAAGTCACTTAAGATGAAAAAATATACAAATTCACTTACTTGACTAAAAATAATTTAAACCAGGTTGATAGTTTTTGCGAATAATGCTTTATACTTGAGTATTTTTTGTTTGGCGTACTGGCCGTTCTATATCGAAAGTGATGTATACAATGTAAAAACCTCCGACTCTACACATTAATTTTTACTCGGTAGATTAGCTTTTCCATTGTCATTGCCTTTATCACAATCTTAAAACTTTGGATAATCTGTTTTTCAACCGTACAAAGGTTGCAAAGGAATCGCACATTTACCTATGTTAATCGGATGCATTCATATGCTTTTAAAAAATGTTTAACTGACTGTTAAGTAAGGAAAAATTTGAAAATATATTCCACACTGGTTAGTAATTTTATCACCAATGCTGTAAATAGCATTTTTTTAATTCATTTAGTGAATTCTGAGGAAAAAGAGTTTGAGGGACAAAACTTGTCTAAAGCGACTAAATCACGATAAATAAACTCTTTAATACATATTTATTGAATGGTTATCATTCAAACATCTATCACACAAATAACAGTTTCAAAGATAGCATATCACCTTTTGGCAGATTTTTATCAAAATTAAACATTCTATATCAAATAAAATGATTAGAATGAATAATAATTCATTTTGGTACAGAAATTTGATGATTTCAGTATTTTTCCTTTGGTTTTCAAAGAATTTCATACATTTTTTTGACTTATCATTATACGTGTCAGTCATATCTTGTTATCTTATTATTATTATTATGATTATCAACGTTTATATATATATATATATATATATATATATATATATATATATATATATATTCTTTCTTCGTAAAACACTGTAATATTGTTGCTCAACTTTTATATTATTGACAACTCAATTATCTGAGTCATCTATCTTTTTCAGCTATAGAAAGATTGTTATAATGTTTGTTTACTTGAGATTTATTTTAATGAAGTAGTTACATATGTCAACCTAAAATGTACAAGAGGATACTATGGTGATTATTAAATTTTCATCTTTTTTCTGTATTTTGATAATATAAATGAAATATATATTGGAAGTCATAAGTTGAGTAGTACTAGTTCGATGCATAACTTTTTGAATAACTTTAGGATCAAGGATGAATGATAAACAAGATTTACTGAAAGAAACATGTATTTAAGTGTTCAAAACTAAATTTATTTTACGATGAAATTCGTAGCAATATCACATCTAATGAGTTTAGGCTTTTTTACTGTGATGAAGTATATGTTACTGAATGAAACTATCCTAATTACAATATACTTACTTCTTAGGTGAATTAAGATTTCTCACATAATAGCAAAGACTTTTTGGTAGATGAATTCATGTAGTACCAGGGGATATTAACCGTAGTGAATGATGATATACAAATGATAGAGGTTGTATTGATTTCACAATTTATAAGTTTCTTTAGAAATAAACTGTTATGGTAAAGAATATCATTCAAAAAGATATTTTATAGATTCATTTATAGATTTATTCTTAAGATCAGTCCATAAGTACTTTCCTTATTAATCATCAATTGTTTTGTGAAGCAAGCTTAACTGTATAGTCATCGTCACGAGGTAAAGTTGGCTACCAATCGTTTATAATTAAGTGATAGTAAGAACTCAGGTGATATTACATAGTTTGAGTTAGTCAACAGGGGTTTCTTGCCGTAGGTTTCATATTTTTTGACATTATTGAGCAGGGTGTACCTGCAACATTAGAGTTCAAGTGTTATTTCATAGTTTTGTATCTAAGTTATTCAGTTTCACATTCAGAGATGTTACTACTGAGTTATTTGGGACTCTATTGATTTCCTGTAGCAATGAGATGCATTTAAAAATGATTGAATATTAACTAATAACAAATGGCATGCTCGCCAATTACTTCTAGGGGTTGATCAGATCCCATCGATCAAGTTATAATATAGACTCTAGTTTAATTGACCTGAAATTGGATATACTGTGTTTCCTAACGACCAACACAATATGGTACACGCGACTTTGAGTTACCTGGTATGGTAGCCACATTTAACACTGATCGATAGAACCTAACTACTACTAATAATGACTTGACCAACATTGTATCAATCACTACTCAGTAGCAAATCAATTGGAAATTTAATGGGCTGCCAAAATGGATAACGTTAGAAATTCTGAGTAGCTTTTATGGGGAGATTACAGAGATCATTTCAGTTTAATACAAAGAAAGCTCTTATTCACATCTAATAAGTTCATAATCAGATAGTATTGATAGGTTTATTTAAATAATATTGACATAAAACAACTGAATGTAAATGGTATAACTTCTACATGAATTCATTCAATGAGTTACCTGACGGATTGTTAATGCTTATAGTACAATATCTTATATGTCAGATTCATGATCTTTTTAGTTGGATCGATGTCCAAAAAATAAAACATTTCTAAAATCGAATATTTCTGATGATTTTATCCGTGAAATAAAATGTCATGTTGAATCAGTTGATCGTTCTAATTTTAAGAATGTGTTTATGTATCAGATTTTAATTATCCTAAAAATCAATAGAAGAGATCTTCAAATAGATAAAGAAGTATCGATAGTTATTTTTTGTGTAAATAGGTATAGATATGATGTATCACACAAAATAGTTAGTTGAGTAAAGGTTTAATTTATAAAAACACATGAACGTATAAAACTACATAAATAATGATTCCAACTATTGCTTAGTTTACAAGTTTGAGCCAAGTAATTGAGTTTGTAGGTGTAAACCTATAAATTTCAACTTGGTAGTCCGATGATAAATCAGTAGCAGAGCGACTCGCAGATTCTGGGTCGTGTAGAGTAATCTAGTAATGAGTCCTGTGCTAACAAAATGGAATTCTATTATGCTACGTTCTGTTTCGTATGACCGTTCTGAATGTCAGTTTATGACATAACTGTGAACTACAATTCTGTTTATATCTTACATAACTTGGAATACTAATGGAGTAACTTAGTTCTTGATTTTTATTTCACTCAAATAGTTTCTGTTTTTGATTGTTTTACTGACTATATTATTAACTTATGTATAGTTTGCTCAACTTTTTTATTACTATCTATGATTCAATATTATATTAAGTTAAGGATTACTTATTTGGACGTTTTGATGCTTTCTTTACGAAATTTTGTACTTCTTAGCATGGTAGTATGTTGATGAATCAAATAATTGATAACATCCTTCAGTTGTAATCATTAATATATATAACATGAGTTACTGAATCTCTACCATCATGATTGTTTCTAAATAAACCTTCAATTTATGGTAGATGAGCGTTAAGTTTACTCATAAATTACCCTATTCAAAATAACAATTTGATTTCTTATAATAAACATATACTTGAATGAAAATTACTAAATTATTAGTTTAATTCTTTAGTCTAATTATATTCGATAGAATTTGGCAATAAACATTTTCTGGCAACAATAAACCTCATAAGAAAAGAAACTCTATGTAACGTTTTATGTCCTATATTTGTATAATTCAGTAATATTGTTAAATATAAGATCTTTTATTATTGGAATGATTCTTTGATTTATAGAATAACAAATCAAATGTTACATATATTTTGACAATATTATTGTGGTGACTAGAAAAAAGTGATGTAAAGATTTTTATGCGTATTTATAATATGACAGACATTGTGAATGTTAGTATTTATATGTCATTTAATAATGAAACTAAGTTTCCTAATATAGTTTAGTAAACTTGTCGAAAATCATGTTAAAATTAAAAAAAACCAGACTCGTAAATTATGTGAAAGATTGATATACATATGTTAATATTGACTTGATTTCTAGAGTTGGTAGTTCAGTCATACTACACTTATGTAGTTCATCGTCTTAGATCCTTTCATGTGAAAACTATAATAATTAAACCACAGAAAAAACTTAAATCTTGATACATAACATTGACAGACGAGATTACTTTTAAATATGTAACTGAGATATGAACATATTACTCAACTGAGCTTCTCTACGACAAGCAATTGAACATAACGACAACGTAAGTGGTTGTTATTTATCGAATGGGGTTAATTAAAACCTGAAAATAGCTTTCATTTTCTTAAGAATATCTATAAATAATTGGTTATATTAACTTGCTTATTTCAAAAATGCATGTTTTTCATATATCTACGATAAAAATATATTAATAGAAGAGAATAACAAGGGTCTTAACTACATTAATTTCATCATAACTAATTGATAACGTTTATTTTACACATATCTTCAATTTAAATACTTTAGGGTTAGTGTGTTAGCATCGACATAAATTGATGACAAAAAAGACCCGATTTGAATTCATGATGACGGTCTGCAATTGATACTACAAATGAATTTGTAAGCTAAAATAAAAATTTACATTTAAAATCCACTGTTATTGGTTATCCATAGTTGGATGACAATTCTTGAAATGATTTATGTAATATCTGTGAGTATTACATATATATGTAAATGATAAATAACTGATAAAAAACGAATAATAATTTTAAAATGAGATATGTGAAACGTATGCAAGAATGTCGTTAATTCTTTCCTCATATTTAAAACTTTTATATAATATAATATAACTTAATAACAGTTTTCGCTTATTTTCTATGCATTCTATTCTTCCATGTTTCAATATTAGACAACACACCAACAAGTGATATAAAATCTAAAACGAATGTTCCTCCACTAAAAAAGATCATACGATCATCCATTACAGAAACTGAAGAAGTTAAAGAAAAATCTGTCAAATCCTACTTTGATACTGTTTCATCAGCTGGTTATCCTACATCACCACCGGAATTTTCTGATTATGTTAAGACACGTGTAACAAATAAATATCCAAGTTATTCATCTTCTTGCAGTTCATATCAATATCATCATCATGTAGAAAATTTACCCAAAAAATCGGATGAAAATATCAATGGTCACAGTAATTTGACATCACATAAAGTTTTATCTACGGTTACTAAAATAGCACCAGAGAGTAATGCACCTCAAACAAATAATTATGAAAGTATATCAAGACCACAAATCAGTGTCCCTATTAAAATACGACGTATACCACAAGATGTTCGGGTAATTCATACATCAAATACACCTACCTTAAATAGATTAGATGAATTTAAACGGAACTGTGAACGAGCATCAAGACAATGGGAACAAGTGATCAATAATAAAAGTGGTAACAAATTGACAGAAGAAGTAATGGTTCACAGAATAGCTGAATTGGAATCCTGTGTAAAAGAGGCTGAAAAGTAAGTGAGTTTATACACCTGTAATATTCTCAAAACGTCTTATTCTAAATACTTACATGTAATCTGAAAATATGAATGTGATTATTTTACTAATCAATGATACTATATGACTGAAATCAAAAGTCAGACTGCTTGTTACGCAGTTGTCTCATCAACTGGTCAGATAACTATAACAGTGAACTTCTTGACTAACTAGTTTCCCTGAAAGTGTTTTGTATGAGTCTATTCCAAGCATATATATATATATATATATATATATATATATATAGAGAGAGAGAGAGAGAGAGAGAGAGAGAGAGAAAGAGAGAGAGAAAGGAGGGTAAGAGGAGAAAAAGATAATATAGTAATACTGTGGGATTTTAATCCGCAATCTTATGGATATGAGCCGAAAACCTATACCAATAATGCAATGGTTTTTAATTTTATGGTTACCAATTTAAAATATATTTATTACATAATAAATTTGCTTGAAACAGAAGAAAGTAATGTTATTGGTTATCATGGTCAAACCATTCAAAGTGTTCATGTAAATTACGTTAATCCTCAAAGCACATCAGTTATTGGACAAGTAAATCCATAAGCATATACCAAATTCAATATCTGAATTAACATTTAGATCCTTTTCGTGATGACCTTCAAAATTTTATGTAAATATATACTATTGATATCTAGATTTACTGCCTACTGAGTAGGTATATCAGAAAATTCGGTATCTAAAAACGTTAACTATTCTACGACTATTAATACAACGTAATAAAATGAAGAATATTTGAGCGAACCGTTTTTTTCAATAACTTCATCATCAGTTATAAGTCCATAATTATGACAATTTACAAAGGCCAAAAATAAGGCATGTATTAATGAATTTGACAATGTTATGTGTTAAAAATGGTGCACTTTTGCATCTGTTACGATATATATATATATATATATATATATATATATATATATACTTCAAAATTGTATTATTTGCAAATTAGAAAGGTCATTCAATAAAGATCAAGATGATTTGGAGTAGTGTCCAGTTACAATAAGTAGAATAGTATTATAGCAAAATTGAAAATGGAAAAAAATTTGTGTGAATAAAATGCATAGTAGGAGAATTTAATCTTGTCAATTGAGATAATAATAATGAGATTGTTGTGTGAATATAATATGTTATAAGGAGGGTGTTATCAAGGTAAATACGATCAACGAATTGGGAATGATGTATGTGAAGATTAAGATAGAGATAATCAAAAATAATGATAATGAGGAAAATAAATAAAAATAAAGGAAGGGGGGTAAGAGGGTTAAAATATTCAGACTAGGTATTCGGTGATCCAGTCGTAGGCCAAGGTAAACTTAGAGGTTAGATACAATTTTTCTGGATACATAAATTAGGTCTTCAAGAGTTGATCCAGATAGCTTCGGCTTTCAATAATGTCCACCCAGCCATTAAATTCACCAGCGAGGAGGAGAAAGATAAAAGTATAGCTTTTCTGGATGTCTTACTTTCTCGAAGGATAGATGGTTCCATAAAGCGAAATATATTTAGAAAGAGTATATGGACGGGTTAGTATACTAATTTAAAAACTAAAAGATGTTTTAATATTTTCCGTATCCCTTCTTCTTAGTAAAACTTACATCAGTGAATTGATTTTATAACTTACAAGACAGACAATCGATTGTGGATAATCAGCTTTTTTTATGGGAAAAAAAACTTTTAAATGACACAACAGAATATTCAACTAATTAGTGCATAGAATGAATTTAATAACTTAAACCGTTAACTGATCTAGTCGAATTTTTAAAAGTATTTTGAAATCTTCAATATATTGAGAAGAAATTTTCTACATACAAATTTTCAACTGAATAAAGTGTAAAACTTGATACAATACAAATGATATGAAATATTATGTTGAATAAGTTGATCACAAAAGGGAAAATTAATCCACAATAGCATATATGAAAAGAGAGAGAATCTTGCCATATTTCTTTGTAATACTGTTATTGTAGTGAACATGAACACTAGTTAGGACATGAAATCACAGATCGTCTCAGTAAAATCTGAGGACCATATAGTAATTAGTTAATTTGCAAAATATCGATCCATCGTCTCAAACTCCACTGTTCCTTCTGCAAATATCGGTCCATTGTCTCAGATTTCGTTGTTCATGAATTTTCATACCAACTGCATTCCGTTTCCGTTATTTTCTTATTGATCTTCTACTGGAATACGTTCTATGCCTCACCATAGTTATATACTACTTATGTGGTTATAAGTAAACCACACCGCATTAGGATTATTTAACTTGATAATGAGCTTATGAATAATAGGATAGCTTAACGATAAATAATTACAAATTGGCTTTTTAACAATAAAAAATTTGTCTACACCGTTTCATCTTGAATGAAAAATGGTAAAATCATTGTTACATCCTCAAATAACGTTAATTGTTGAACAAATAATATAGTAATGTTTGGATATCAACAAAGAATTAAATCCCATAATATTAATGACATCACTATTATTATTATTATTAGAACCAATGCTATTTTTAAAGTAATCACATAACATATATTTATTTTATTTGTTGTTGTTAGTTAACAAAGCACTTGTTAATGATTACACAGACGTAATGCACGATTATGAATGTAGAAACAAAATTACTTACTGAATGTATAGTTATAAACATTACAGTGTCTACAATGATGTATTTATATTTACTTTAAGAACCATTATCAGAACTTAGTAGAGATAAAACTTTCTTTTATCCAATCACAAACAAAGCTAAATGATTAGCTTTTGGTAAAGTTTAAAAGTAAACAAATGAAAAATTAGGCCAAAACATCTATTAAAGAGGATATGTATTTTGACTTATTTTGAGTCAATTCTCTAGTGTTTCGGTCATATTATCTATTGAATATTTTAGTGTTAATGAATTTCTATATGAATAAATGAATTTAGTATTGCCAATTGTTTCTCATCTGGTGTTATAAATACAAATAGGAACGTTTATTCATTGTGACTTAAAAAAATGTGAATTACTACAGTAAAATGGTGGAAAATGATGGAAATACATGTGTAATTTCTTAGGAATATTTATATGCTTATATTGTAAAGAAATAAAAAAGAAATAGATCATTCATAAAGTATATGAGTAATATGTTAAAACATTTAACTAATTTTAATAATAATTTGAAAAAATAACCGACTAAAGAATCATAGACAAAAATGTTTGTTGTTGCTATCCTTTAGTTACTGAAATAATTATGAGAAAGGAGGGGGGCGATTGAGGAAATCATTAAATTTCTTAATTAGAAATCATTTAATTAACATCATAATTAACATCAACTCAATATTTTAACACATTATTCATAAACTATATAAATGATCAATTTCTTTGTTTTGTTTTTTTTAATTTCTTTATCATTTACTCACATAAAAATTTTTAAGAAATTATATAAACATTTCCATAAGTTGAAATTCATATTCATTACTTCCATTTTTCTATACTATTAATTCATAATTTTACTAATCATAACAAATAAACATTCCTATTTTATATTTGTAATGTTTAATGAAAAATATTTATTATTAGTAATTATTCATTTATATTGTTATTTACTTAAAATTCATATTATCAATCATTTGTTTGTTCATGTAACCTATAAACATATTTACCTACATAGATACAATAATAAATTAATATTGGAAAATATTTTCTTAACAGAATGAGTAATGAATAAAAAATGTTTAAAAAAATTAAAATTATGAACTTTATTTAGCAAAAAAAGAGAAAAGAAAAGCATGAAAAAAGAAAAAAATTAAAATGATTCGATTTTCAAAGAAAAATCTTTAATAATTTATTGGAAGTTAGTTATTTGCAAACATATAATTAGATAAACTATGAAAAATCTTATTATGTCAATCATTTAATAGAAAATAATGATTATCAGAATATTAAATTGAGTATATATTAGTCAAAATAAAGAAAGGAAACGAGAATAAAATAAAAAATTTTTAATCTTACTAATGTAAATTTATAGGTCAGTGTAACGTGGTAATAATCATATGTTTGCATATCTCACTGTCATGATTCGATTACTTACAATATCAATAGCTTACCTGATAGGTAGAGAAAGTAAACTCATTAAATATTTGAAATTGCAAACTTCAAGGTACTTAATTTCTATCCGTTTTCAAAATATTACTTGTTGACCTCTTGTATACATGAAATCCGTTCTTTGAAACGTTCATCGAATTCTTTTGCGATCAAGACTTTTAGTTATCTTGTTTTTTCCATTTTTGCTAAGTTCAACTAAGTCGAGTCATTTTTGTCGATTTAGTTCATTAAATAGTGCTCAGACGGTGAATAGGAGTTGATAAAAAGCGAAACCCCACATGGATTTGAGTTTTTTATTCGTATAGTGGATTCACAGACATCATGACGTTTTATAATCCTTGTCATCTTCAAAAATCTCACCAGCAAGCAGATTCTCTCTCCGAATCATTGGCTTCATAAACAGCCCTTCAGTGGTTCACGAAGTGCACAATAGGTTATCTCATTTTTTACTCAAGATGGATGTGTTTATTTAAGTGGTTTATGCAACAAATATTATATTAGTAAAGCTCATAAGTCAGCATGTAACATGAAGTCAAAATCATTGTTATTAGAAATACAAATTAGATTTCCTTTTTAAAAAATTTAAAAGAGTTCATCACTGTTCACTACACACATTTTGTTAAATCTTGGAAAGGTGTATGCCAAAAAGCATGTAAAAACTTTAAATCAGTGTGATTAACGAGCTTAATGATATTTACTTTATAATATCACGAAGTGGTTGTTCAGCTATTAAATAAACAAGTTACGACTAATTTGAATCACTTCAAAGTCACAGCCGTGACATTGTTGTACAGATTTTAGTTTTTATATTATAAAATCATGCAAACTAGACTACATATTTTGACGGGTTAGTCATTTAAAGAATTCTTTTTTCCTTAAAATAAACTATAA